GGGGACAAGACTTCTGGGAGAGAGGACTTGGATTTCTGTTTACTATTATGATAAAATATGTCTTTGATAGCACTGTGGACTGAATTACGTCCCCTCCCAAATTCATATGCTGAAGCCCTGACCCCCATGGGATGGTATTTGGAGAAGTCTTTGGGAAATGAGTTAGATGAGGTCAGGAGAGTGGGGCTCTCATGATGGAATTAGCATCCTTAAAAAGAGAGGAAGAGACGCAGGGTCCCTCTTGTCACCGTTTGAGGACACAGCAGGAAGGTGACCATTTGCCATCTAGGAAGAGAGTCCTCACCAGGAAACAAATCTGCTGGACTCCCCACCTCCAGCACTGTGGGAAATAAAGATCTATTGCCTAAGCCACCTAGTTTATGGTTTTGTTGTAAAAGCCTGAGCAGATTAAGACAACTCCATGTTTACCCCCGGAGAGGCAGTTTTAATAACTGGATTTGCTGACAGAATCATCTGAATAGGGACAAGAGCAGGCTCATGCCTGTCATTCCAGCACTTTGGGAGGCCGAGGCAGGAGGACTGCCTAAAGCCGGGAGTTGGAGACCAGCCTGGACAACAAAGCAAAATTCTCTCTTTTTTAATTTAAAAAAGAAATTATTTGAATGGATGAAAATGTAAATAGGAATGGCACAAAAGAAAAGGCAGCGACTGTGGCTGATTGAGGTGCTCAGGACTCAGAAATGTTGGCATTGTTTTGAGAAGAAAGGTTTGTGTTCAGACATAGCTGCCTGAGACTTCTCAGGCTGGTTATGTATGTCCCCAATGTTAGACTTTAGGCCCAAAGTACAATCTCACCATCGTCCCCATTTCTAGTTCTTGTTTGTAGCACCCGCATCCACACAGTTGTCCAACTTACGAAATGGCCTCATCCCCTGTTTCTCCCTGTGCACACCTGCCAGGTCTCAAGTCATAACTTTTTTTCCTTCCCTCCCTCCCTCCCTCCTTCCTCCCTCCTCCCTCCATTCCTTCCTCTTTTTCTCTTCTTTTCTTTCTCTTTCTCTTTTCTTTCTTTCTTTCCCTCCCTCCCTCCCTCCCTTCCTTCCTTTCTTTTTCTTTCTTGACAGGTTTCACTCTTGTTGCCTAGGCTGGAGTGCAATGGCGCAATCTCGGCTCACCGCAACCTCCGCCTTCTGGGTTCAAGCGATTCTCCTGTCTCAGCCTCCCGAGTAGCTGGGATTACAGGCATCTGCCACCACATTCTGCTAATTATTATTTTTTTTTTAATAGAGACAGGGTTTCTCCATGTTGGCCTGGCTGGTCTTCAACTCCCGACCAGAGGTGATCCACCTGCCTCGGCCTCCCAAAGTGCTGGGATTACAGGTGTGAGTCATCGCACCCGGCCGACTTTTCTTTTTAATCGTGTCTGGGCTCTGACCACTCCATCTCCATCCTCACTGCCACCATCTCTCTCAAGACCTCTGCTGCTGCATCCCAACAGGGCTTACCTGGTTCTTCCTCTGGTTCGGGTAATTATGACAAAAGGCCCAGGACAGCCTCAAGAAATATTCTGGAGACTTCCTGGACCCTAAAAGGAATCCAGAGGCTTAGGGATTAATCAGCAAAGGTTACAAGGGCAGTCACAGATGAAGACAGGCCTGTATAACTAGGGGGTGGGGCTCTGAGGTTTCTAGAAGGGGTTAAGTTTATCAGTCCATTCTTATTCAAATGGTTCATGTACATAATGGATGGGTGCTGATCTTGTCAAAAGCTATCAGTGCTATACTCCAAGATGGTGGGTCATGGCCAGGCACGGTGGATCACACCTGCAGTCCCGGCATTTTGGGAGGCTGAAGTGGGCAGATTACCTGAGAGTGGGAGTTCCAGAACAGCCTGGCCCACATAGTGAAACTCTGTCTCTATTAAAAATACAAAAATTAGCTGGATGTGGTGGTGCACGTCTGTAATCGCAGGTACCTGGGAGGCTGAGGCATGAGAATTGCTGGAAACTGGTGGTGGAGGCTGCAGTGAGCTGAGATTGCACCACTCACTACACTCCAGCCTAGACAGTAAAGCAACACTTTTAAAAAAACAAACGGTGGATCGGTCTTGCTTAAATGACAGAATTGCATTTGTTCCTGTATGCTGGGTCTTGAGTGAGGTTAACTCCTCATGAATCAGCCCTTTAGTAGATCTGAAGTCACAAAATATGTAGGGGAAGCTGCTAATTGTGCCCTAATAATCATGTTTCGTTCTTCAGTGAAAGCCTCCTGAATTCAGCCTGTTGAATTTTGGCTGTGTACTGCCATCTAGAATAAAACTACATTTCCTGATGTGCCTTGCAGCATAGTGTGTCCATATGATTACGTTCTGGCCAACTGTTTGTAAGTCAGAGTAGTATATGCAATTTTGAGGAGGTATACTTAGAAGGAAAGGGTATTTTGTTTTTCTTGCTGGAATGTTGATGTGATGGTTGGAGCTGGAGCAGCCATTTTGGACTATGATGAGGAAGCTGTGTATTGAGGACCCTGGAGTGACCAGACTGGAGGAACCTGGGTCCTCAGTGAGTGGTACCAGCTCTGGGCTGCTGGTGTTTATGTGAGAGAGAAATAGGCTGTTTTGCTTGAATCACCTTTACTTTGACTTTTAGATTCAGAATTTAATACCTGAAGACCAAATGCTGCAAGTAGCATCTAAAATGTGGCACTGGCTTAGTGGAATTGCTGGGCCAGCAGATGGCAAAGATATAAATATTGCCTTTTGTATAATGGCTAAACATCAATGAAATTGTTATCTGCTACTGGGTATGTGGAAGATGGACCACAGGCGGACTGAAGGGAAAACGGTGGGAGGATGAAAAAGTGTGAATGTTGCTCCTTGTTGTTTTTCACAGTCCTCCATACGCGAGATGGACTGGGGCTACAGCCAGCCCGCCTGCAAGCAGAGACGGGAGGTGTTGCAGCTGTTCGTCTTCTCCAAATGTCATGTTGAAAGGCATTCCCCAGTGTTGGAGGTGGGGCCTAATGAGGGGTGTTTGGGTGGTAGGGGTGGATCCCTCATGAAGAGATGAATGTCCTCCCCGGGGATGGGTGAGTTCTCACTCTCTTCATTTGGGTGAGAGCAGGTTGTTAAAAAGAGCCTGGCCCCTCTCCCCACTCTCTCTTGCTTCCGGTCTCTGCATGTGGTCTGCACACGCCTGCTCCCCTCCACTTTTCGCCAGGTGTGGGAGAAGCCTGAGGCCCTCACCAGATGCGGATGTGGGCGCCATGCTTCTTGTAAAGTCTGCAGAACCATGAGGCAAATAAAACTCTTTTCTTTATAAATTGCCCAGCCTCAGGTATTCCTGTATAGCAACCGTATGCGGCTAAGATGGGAGGGAATCTTGCTTTGCTCACAGAGGCGAATAGCTGCACTCAAGTTGACTCAAGTCTTGAAGTGTTGAAAATGACAACTGCTTCTGTCCTTCAAACTGCAGCTATTAAGTGCAGTGCCCTTGAAATGGCAGCCTTAGTGCAGATAAGGCTTCTCTGCCTGAAAATGCAAACCAGGTTTCTTCAATGACCAGACTAAGGGTGTTGCTCCCACCCATGCTTCTCTTCCAGGCAGCCTCAAGGCAGCCGCATTTAAGACGAAGAGGCAGGAGCAGAGCAGATCTTCCGCTGTGAGTAGTTGATGGATTCTATTGCCTAAGAAGTTGCATGCCTGGTCTTCCTTAACCATAAAAGTAACCTTGGGGACTCCCCCAAACTGCTCAAGGAGTAAGCAGGCTATAGAAGCTGTGGTGGGCCAGGTGCAATGGCTCGTGCCTGTAATCCCAGCACATTGGGAGTACCAACATGGGAGGACCACTTGAGCCCAGGAGTTTTGAGACCAACCTGGACAACATAGCAAGATCCCATCTCCACAAAAATTTTAAAAAATTAGCTGGGTGTGGTGGCACATGTCTGTAGTCTCAGCTACTAGGGAGGCTGAGGTGGGAGGATTGCTTGAGTCTGGGAAATCAAGGCTGCAGTGGGCTGTGATTGTGCCACTACACTCCAGCCTGGGCATCAGAGCAGACTCTATGTCAGAAAAGAAGGGCAGCCAAACGGTTGAGCTATGGCAGAGAACACTCATTGTCCCTCAGACCTATTCTTTTGTTTCTCAGAGACAGAAGCCCTGAATGTGTTGTGCTTTCCTGGAGTAGGAAATGTGTTAGGTTTCCTGGAGTAAAATTGACCTTCGACTCCTTTCCTTGCAGTAGGCATGGACCTGTGATGAAGTTCTGATCAACAGGACGTACCATATGCAGGTGGTGCCCCCTCCAGGGAGGGGTCATGCTTTTCCCCTGCCCCTGCCTCCCTCCTGCTAGCTGCAGCGTGAAGTGGAGCTGCAGACTGAGGATGGCCGAGGAACGTGGGGCCCCAGTGACCACGGAGCCACACTGGCCCCCCTGCAGGAAAAAAGGTAAACTTGTACTATGTGAAAGCTACTCTTGTCAGGGTGGTGGAACCTAACTGGCATCTAGAATCTGCCACACCAGGTGATATGGTTTGGCTGTGTCCCCACCCAAATGTCACCTTGAATTGTAATAATCCCCAAGTGTCAAGGGCAGGGCCAGGTGGAAATAATTGAATCATGGGCGAGGTTCCCCGCACACTGTCCTCGTGGTGGTGAATACATCTCAGGTCTGATGGCCTTATAAATGGGAGTTCCCCTGCACCAGCTCTCTTGCCTGTCACCATGTAAGATGTGACTTTGCTTCTCATTCGCCTTCCACCAGGATTGTGAGGCTTCCCCAGCCCTGTGGAATTGCGGGTCCATTAACCCTCTCTCTTTCATAAATTACCCAGTCTCAGGTATGTCTTTATTAGCAGCATGAGAATGGACTAATACACCAGGTCAAGGCCAAGATGGGAGTTCATGCTCCTGATGAGAGGGAAGGCGGAGATGAGCAGAGAGCACTCTCCTCCAAGAGTTTATTTAAAAATGAAAAGAAAAGCAAATACAAGAAAATATTTGCAGAAATCTATTAGAATAAAAATATCGGCAGACAACAACAGTGTTGCATAGCTTGAACATTTTTATATTGATCAAATTGTTTTTCAGTAGAATCACTGATAGAACAGGTCAGAATGAAAAACATTCCAAATACACAGAAAACAGATTGCTGCTCAATTATGATCCTTTTCCAAATAACTTCACACAAATCCTTTGGTTGCTCCAAACAGAATGGGAGCTATGAGGATGGTGGCCCAGCCAGGCCATCAGACTCCCAAGCATTTTGTCACCGGTCTGAGGTCACAGAATCTTTGCCATGTTTACCGAGACTGCTCTCAGCTGAGGATGACAGGCAAGAACCAGATGGCGGCCATCCTTGTCTTTGGATTAACAGTGCCAAAGTCTGAGGGACACCACCTGGTGACAAGTTGCAGAAATGTGACACATCTCTGTAGGAGCCATAAAGCTTTGGTTTAGGATTAAGTTTGATTCTCTGGAATATTAGGCTCCCAGAATGGCAAATCTTGACTTCACCTCATCCAGCCCAACCTTCCCTGTTTACATATAAGAAAACTGAGGGTTGAGGGCGGTATATCTTGTCTAAGTCCAGGTCTAGACCCAAACCCTGTCTCTCACAACCTTTCCCTATTTCTATTGCCTCTTTGTTGCCTCTGGAGGATGATGAGGCCTTTTTTGCTTGCCCTCAAATGATCATTTCTGGGGGACCAAAGAAAAAAAGATCAAGTAGCAGCAACATAGCAGCAGTGCTATACACACTAATCTAAAGGCATATTTAAATATGAATTACTGTGGTAGGAAACGAAAGACCAGTACAAGAGTGTGTTATGACCACTGTCACCCCCAACCAAACTGAGTTGCATCTTTTCTTCTGGAAAGTCAAAACACTGCGTGCAGGTTCTAGAAGGTGACACCAGCAGGGATCTCTCATCTTGATTAAATTGGCATATCAACGTGGAGCCTCATTAGATCTTCTAGAAAGTGCCAGAACGTAGGATGTAAATGTCTTCTCCATTCATATCCAGCCAAATCTCCCAGGCAAAATATTTATCCTGATTCTGACTCAGTTCTTCACTTAGGACTAAAAAAAAAAAAAAAAAGCTCAAGCATAATTGCTTAAGTGTATAAGGTAGTGATACAGGAATCTGGAGCTACAGATTTTAATTGATAATTTCTACATAATTTACTTGTATCTTTTGCTCTTTTAGATAATTATCTTGACTTGCTCTTCCAGTATTTCCTAGATTTTGTTGCTGGCAAATTCTGGTGGATCAGAACTGCTGGCTTGCCCAGTGGCAGAAAAGACTGTCTGCAACCACCTGGTAAGCTTTTCAAAAATTTATGTGACCGTAACGGTAACATTTCTGCAACCCTAATAAACAATTTGTTTTGGAGAAAAACAAAACCCCCATTTCCAAAGACATTCAGACTACTTTGCAAACATTTTGCACACAGGGTGATGATGCATTTTTATCAAAACGGCAATGATTTGCTAAATATCCTAATGGCATTTAAATTTATGCCAGTGTTCCCTCCACCTCCTCTTTCTTGGAGCTTTGCTGAATTTTTCTGAGTCCAGATTATTTTGTGCTCTTGTTCTCTCTCTTCTAGAACATTTTCCATTTTCCTCTCATAAAAACCCAGTTAGGCTGGGTGCAGTGGCTCAGGCCTATATATAATCTCAACACTCTGGGAGGCTGAGGTGGGAAGATCACTTGAGGCCAGGAATGGGAGACCAGCCCAAGCAACACATCAAGATCCTATCTCTACAAAAGAATAAAAATAAAAAATAAGCCAGGTGAGGTGACACGCACCTGCAGGCCCAGCTACTCTGGAGGCTGAGGTGCGAGGATTGCGTAAGCCCAGGAATTTGAGGCTGCAGTGAACTATGATCATGTCACTGTACTCCAGCTTGGGCGACAGAGAGACCCTGTCTCTAGAAAAAGAAACAAAAATCCAGTGGATTCTACTTTTGAAAGTTGTGTTTTTGGGCTAATCACTGACAACTAAACTTTTCTAAGTAACTCATCCACAGCAGTGGCTGTTGATATTCCAGCTGATGAAGTGACATGAATAGTATGATCTTATTCAATCCTCATGTTCAGTCTGAAGTCCTACGTATTGTTTTTATTTTACAGATAATGAAAGAGAGGTGGAGCTTCTATGTGAGCAGGCCCCAAGTAGTTAGTGCTGAGTGGGAACAGGAACTGAATCTCCTGCCCCTCAGCTGCAAACTTTCTGGTGGTTTCTTGTTTTGCAGTATGGGGTTATGGTACGGTGTGACATCTCCCTCCCACCTCTGCCACTTGGCAGTAAAATATCCATGTAGAAAAGTCAGAAAGCATGCAAGTAAGTACACTAGCTCTGGAAATAAAGAACCTTTAGGGTCCTCCCACCCCCTTAGATAGGTCTTTATCCATCTTGCAACCAGCAAACTATTCAATTGGCACCGAATTTGCTGAATATCAAAATGGCTTCATTTCTGTGCATGATAACAGGGAAACATCTTTTCCATAAATACCATTAAGAACCTGGCTTAACTCTCTCTTCTGAGTACATAAAAACCACTGTTTAAAAATACCACATTAAATGTTTATGCCATTTATTTTCCTTAAATAATAATTTGCTACAATCCTGTCACAAATTTAAAAAAATTTAACACAGTATTCACAAAGGCAGAATTCTTTAGGACGATCAAAGTGATGGTCTTAGAATAAATTAACATCAGATTGTATTTATATTCAGATAGTCTGATCCTCTCTTTTGAAATGCAATGGAGACCATTGTAACTGGGGGTGAATGCACACATTTGTTCTTCTATACAGAGACTCATTCTTTATGTATACTCAACGGTAATTTGAATCGTTAGAAATCCTGAGAAACACTCACCCCTGGGCACACACATGTACACACCCCCCACGGCCAACCCTCCAGAAGCTCGGTTTCCCATGGTTCAATTACTAGAAGCTCTTTTCTCGAAGCCCAAACATTCGGAATATTTAGATGACACTGTCCCATCTCCCCTTGGAAAAATCATAGTTTCAAGTGTAGGAACTTGAAGTAGCAGCAATACATGTAGGAGATTCAGTAGTCAGTGATTCCAGTCCTGGGTACTGAGTGTGCAGTAGGAGGCAAGCAGAGACAAGAGACACACCTGCTTCTACAACTAAGCCACGAGATGACCAGAACACACTGAGGGTCCCAGTTCTTAGAGCCTCAGCTGAAAACTCACCTGAATGCACATTATGAATCCAGGTCAGGCACCAAGAGGAAACCTCAAGGGGGATACTATTCTCAGAAACATGAGTATCAGAAGTTGCCGGGAGATGGGACAAAGGGAGAGAGGGCAGAGAGGTGCCGCTCAGCCTTCAGCCTGACCCCCAGCACCCTGCCATTTAGTACATTCGTCAGGGTTTCCTTAGCATCAGTGCAGGTGAACCTGAGTTGTTCCAGCTCCACCTAGAGGCACAGAAAACTCAGCCCTTACAGTCTGACACACAGAAACAAAACATCGAAACGACCCAAGATAACTACACCATCTTGTTGCTGGGAGGTCAACAGCTCTGTGGTGTCCCGTCTCAATTGCTCCAGGATGTCAACAGGGGTGTGTGTGGTGATGTTGGGGAAGAAGACATTAGGACAGGGCCCACACTGAGATCCCTTTTGTATCTTTCCATAGAAACACAGCCCTAAATGATGCCATAAATACATGCTTATCTACACCAGTTCCTATGTACACAATGTCTTTTCTACAGAAATTTAAAGTGCCTGGCTTCAGAGGTGCCCATTCCTTTCCCACAGCTACTGGTTCCTCTTGCTGCTTCCGGAGAGGAGGTCTGTCCTCCTCTCTCAAGGACGATGGCCTTGGGAAAGAGGAATGGACGTTTTCACAGTTGTCTTAACTAGGATCCAGCATCTGGACTAAGCCTTCTTCATACACACGAAGAATCGCTTCACACACAAACTTGTATTGGCTCTGGAAAAGAACGCAAAGCTGTCAAGTCCCATAGCTTCAGGAAATGCTGCCCCCCACCCTGTACCAGTGGGTCTTTTGCAGCATTTGTAAATACTTTCTGAGTGCCAATTCCCCCATTTGTGGGGAGCCTTAATCATGCTCTTTCCATACCGCTTCACTGCCCTGCTTGGAGTTCCAGGGGAAATCCCCAAGAGTTCCTCTTGAGGACAAGAGGATGTGGCACATGACCCTACTTTGAGCTCTGTTCCACCCGTGGAGGACCGTGCAGGTACTCAGAGACCACATGGCTGGGACAGAGCTCAAAGTACGGTCATATGAAACATGCACGGAGCCAAAAGGAGTACCCAGGTATGGGTGAGAGGGTGATGGAGAAATGATGGTGCAATGATACAGAATCCAACCAGGGCTCCTCCCGGACAGACGGGCTGGTAGGAGATAAACCACAGAGGCAGCAGAGCTCAGAGGTGAGATGGGTGTGGGTTGTCGCCACTGACAAGCTCTGAGAACCTGGGCCAGTGATTCCGTCCCCCTGAGCTGCAGTCTCTTGACTGACAAAGCCCTTCTCTCAGGCCTGCCTGGTGTAAGTGCTCAGAAAGTCCAGCCATTGTTGTTACTGGATTTCTACTCACTGATGTCTGCACCATCATGGCGCGCTGGTCTCGCATTTTTCGGACGATATCCAGGGGGTAAACGGGCAGGTTCCTCTCAGTTAGGCACATGGCTGTTTCCATAGTGACCAACACACCGGTTCGACCTATTCCAGCACTGGAGAGGGGAGAGGAGACAGACTTGGGATTTGTCTGAGTAGCCTTTCTGCATGACTCAGTGTTGACTCAGGAGGGGCTGTCCTCTCCTGGCCTTGGAGAAGACAAAACGCACACTCAGGGTGTGCTCTCAAACAGGCCGAGGCAGCCTATCCTCACCCAGCCGAGGCTGGGGCTCACAGGCAGTGAGGAGAGCCAGTGTTCAGTACCAAGTCCCCTCGCTTTCCACTCACATCTATGACAAAGGTCAGCTGACAGGACAGGAGAAGGGGTGTGTGGGGGACTTTCTTTGTCAGCTCTGTGCTGTATTCACAAGTTTAGGATTTCGTAAAATTCCAAATCACTTTTGAAATAGTGAAGAACTACAGTCAACAGAGGTCTGTAAGAGCACACCACTTTGTGGGATATAGGGTGGGTTTGGTGCCTGCCAATTCTCTCCAGGCCTTTCCCAACAGGCAAAAGTATCCTAAACCCAACAAAACAACAGGCGCTGTACCTGCAGTGAACCAAGACGGGCTCATTGTCCACTCTCAGGGACCTCACATAGTTTACAAATTCCAGAAAGTCGGAGGAGTCATCGGGCACACCGTGGTCAGGCCACGCGACGTACTGGAGATGTGTCACTGTGTGCTCTTCGCCGGTCTGTGGGAGACACAGTGGCCTTGGTAAGCCTACCCAGCCCCAAACCAGACACCAGGGGGGCCCTGTCTCCTGATGCTTTCTCCCCCAGTGCGCAGCCCTGCTGTGGCCCCTGCCAGTTCCTTCCCTGCTTCCCCAAAAATCTCCATCCCCTCTCAGGCTCAGCCGCAGCCTGTCCTGCAGGGCTGCCTTCCTTGATCACTCTGCCCAGTGATTTCCTCCATGTCTCCTATGATACTTGCTATTAGGGGCCACACATGCTCACAATCTTTAACTGTGGCAAAATATATATAACACGAGGCACTGTAACCACATTTAAATGTCCAGTTCAGTGGCATTAAGAATAGTCGCAATTTTGTACAGCCATCGCCACTATCTATTTCCAGAACTTTAAAAATCCCACGAACATAAACCCTGCACCCATTATGCCATATGGCGTAATGTCCACATATCTCCTTTCTCCTCCTTCCCCAGGCCCTTGGCAACTGCTGTTCTACTTTCTGTCTCTATGAATTGGATGACTCTAGGCACGTCACAGAAGTAGAATCCTACAATATTTGTCTATGTCTGGCTTATTTCACTTAGTATAGTATGCTCAAGGTTCCCCTGTTGTAGCAGGGGTCAGAATCTCTTCCTTTTTAAAAGCTGAATCATATTCCATTATACGGACAGACTGCGTGCTGTTTATCCATTCCTCCATTGACGGACATTGGGACACCGGGATGCTTGCGCCTCTTGTGACTAGGGCCACTACAAACTCTGGGTCCCGCCTCTTTGATGGGCAGTCTTGTGTGCTGACATGCTTGCCAGGTGGAAACAGACAGCACACTCAGAAGCGGGACCACCTGGGATGACAGCGGCCGCTGATTTAGTACCTGCCCCTCCAGCTGCGGCTCACCTGGGTGTTTGTGACCAGCATTTCTCGAGACACATAGGCAATGGTGCAGTCCTCTGACTGACACTGGATGTGAAAGCTGCCATGGTCCATGACGTCAGGGGGATCCGGCCAGTACTGGTGACATTTGGTCTGTAAGAAACCACCAAGAGTGAATAAGCTCCCTCTGCAGGGTGTCCGTGCAAGCAGTTAACCCTGGACAGGTGGATGGGTTAGGCAAACTCTCATGCACACCCAAGAGAGCTGATGGAAGAAAACAAACTCCGCCAAGTCCGATCAGCTGTCTGTGTTCTTAGGGTGGGTGGGGGGCAGCCTGCCAGGGGCTTGGCCACAGGTCTCTGCTCAACCCCAGGCTGCAGCCTGGAGGAGGAGGATGAGAGACTCAGCGGCGTCATCACCAGGGGCCATCTGCAGCAAGAGCAGCAGGACCCTGGCCTGTGAGCAACCTCTCTGCCCTCCCCCAGTCCCTGAGGCCCCTCCTCCTGTACTTCTCCACCATCCTCCCCATCCTTTTGAGGAGGCGGCTCCGGGCACAGCAGTTATGGGCGCACATCTGGTGTCACACACAACTCTGCCGGGATCCTCTCCTCTTCCATTTGTCAGCCAGATGATGTTGAACCGGTTGCTTAACCTCTGATTTTCATGTTTTCCACCAAAAAGATGGAGATGGCTCCTGCCTCAGGGCTGGTGAGGCGGCCGGAAGTGGTGTGCAGTGCTTAGCCACTGGGCAGCGGGGGGCGGGCGGGGCAGGCCAGGGGTGGCCATTACTTCTGCTGCTGTCATGGGTTACACACCAGCTTGAGTAAGAGTGATCAGAGGTTCCACAAAAACCCAGATTGCAGGATTCCCAAACTGAGATGAATCCTTTTTCACTGGAGCAGTGTCTCTGAAGCCCTTGAAGGTTTTCTTAGCTGAAGTCCTAAGGAGGTGATATCTCCACACAGCAGACAAGGAACCCAGGGCTACTTGGGATTAAGTGACTTGCCCAAGGCCATGGGGCTGCAGTGATGCAGTCTAGCACTCTTCCTATGGCCCCCCAGTGTCTCTGTCCCCACAGACGGGCTGATCCCGCCACCCTCCCCAATTTCTATCCCCCACTTCCAAAACCTGCAGCTTGTCCTGTAAGCCATCTGAGCACCTGCCTCTGGCTTCTAAGCAGACTTCAGGGCTAGGCTGTCCATCCCATCATAGATCCTTCTGTCAGTTAAATCCTAACTCATTAAACAAGCATTTTCCCCCAAGCCTATATGTGGTTATACCAACTTAAGTAAAAATTACATTTGTTCATAGTGGGAAAAGTGGCATAATTACAATATACATACAATTTGTTAGAAAACAGCTTTCCTATTCTTACTTTCAAATGTCACAGTGAACACTTGAAATTAAAGTATGCTGCTGGAAAGCTGGAGTTAAGAATTTACTTGGAAACCTTAAATATGGGTAATTTTGGTTAGTAGCCATGTTGTGACTTTGCTTAGACATGAGGGGGTTAAGGGCTGTAGGGCCCAAGGCAGAGTGGACAGACACAGGCCCTCTCTTGTTCCCTCATCTGCACAGGAAGGATAAATCCTGCCCTGTAGGCTCCCAGTGGTCCCACCCACAGGATAAATGCAGGGAAGACATTCTCTGATGTGATCAACCCATGTAAGGCAGAACTACAAATATCTGTACTTCCAGAGAGGCTCCCCTTATTCCACGGTGACTCTGACTAGTACTAGACTCTTTCTCTACCTCTGACCAAATACAGATTGTAGTTCAATTTGGATCTGAGAGCACCGGGGTGGAGGGAATGGAAACTGCAAGAAGTCTGTGGAGATCGTGAGTTTCAACCCTGGTTAATAAATTCTACTAAACATATTTGCTTAGTGATCTTGGGGAAATTAACTTCTTTGGGCCTTAGTCTCCACATGAATGCTGCTGCAGTGAGGGGTGATGATACTGAAGCGCTGTATCTTTAGAACAGCAGATGCTCAGCACTGAATGGTGCCTTTCATGAACATGGCTTTACCTTGGCTTCAAAACAACCCTATGGGGTAGGTACTATGGTTGTCTCTGTTTTGCATATGAGTAAACTGAGGCTCAGAGAAGGAATCCGTGTGCGTCAGATCACATGGAGAGGAACTGGGGCAGAGCTGGAATTTCATAACAGGCCTGTGCACTCTTAGCCAGGCTGATATACTCCGGAATGATAAGAAAATGCACCTACCTTGGGCTGTGGTTCCTAGATCTATTTGCTGAACCAACGAGAGGGGCTGACGAAGCCTGACTCAGAGATTGGTTCCCTGTGGAAGAGCCCCGTTGCCAAAGTGGATATGTTACCAGGCAGTGTCCTAAACACTAAATTTAAACAGTGATGTATGCAAAGCTAAGCCTATGTAGCGATGGAAGAAGTAGTTCCAGAGAAGTCACCAATGGACCATGGAGGTCACTGAACCTGGGAGGCCAGCAACATGCTGCTGGGTGTGAGACCCCGGGCAGATGCTGCCAGAAGAGCTCAGAATGCTCTGTCCTCAGGGATTTGCAGGCCTGAGTGGGGCTTGTTTCTCATTTTCCAGTCCCCAGGTGTGGTTTTGAGAAGAGGCTTCAGGAAGGGAAAGCTGACCAGGGAGATGGCTTCTGAAAGGATATGCCTTTCTGGACCAGCAGGAACAAGCCACAGGCTGGGTGGAAGAAAAGCCATCCACCCGCTGTGAGTCCCACTCTACTCCGTGCATGATATGGGTGAACACAAATGGGACATGCTGACAATTTCATCTCTCAGAGAAAGGGACAAACCTGCTCACCTGGAGTGACTGATTCCCAATCCAGAGGCCCTGCTGGGTGGTGATGAGGACGAGATAGGAACTTTGGGATAAAGGGCTCGGGTCATCTGGTCATCCAAGGGTTTGTAATAGGAGAGGGAGGAAATACACATGGTGGATTTCAGAAGAACAGGTTCCTAACAATGGGTAACATGCCAATGATGGAGAAAGAGCGCTATCTCAGGAAGATGGACCAGTTAGGGTTTAGTGGGAGTCAGGGGCCAACTTCAGAAGGCTTCATGATGAAAAGCTTGCTTTCTTGCTCACTTAGTCAACATCCCTGGGGATGTGGAGATGAATTAGGCAGGATGAGGCACTGTCCTCAAGGTGCTCTCAAATCTGGTGTGGGGAATGTGGTGAAAAGGAAAGATAGACGGAAGGCTCACACAGGAGAGGGAGGCAACATCCCAGAGAGAGAGGACAGGGATCTCAGCATTGAAGGACAAGGGTCTCCATCAGGTTGGCAAGGCAAGCATGGATCGTTCAGGCAGAGGGAATGGGACACACATGGTCAAGAGGCAAAGAGGCACATGGTATACCCAGGGAATGACAGTACAATACACCTGCACAGAACGTACAAGTCAGTCTCAAGGTGAGACTTTGCTTGGTCCATGTAAGGAGCCACCAGAGGGTTTGAGCAGAGAAGTGGCTGGACCAGGCAACCCTCTGGAAAGGCCTCACTGAAAGCTGTGTCAACGGATGGACCAGATGTGGGGAGGGGGAGCCTCTGGGCCAGGAAGCCACTAAGGAGGCTGTTGCTGCTCCTGGAAGAGAAATGCAAAAGCTGTGAGTGAAGGCAGGGGTCTTGGGGACAGAGAGGGAGACCAGTGGCAGCAAGCTGTGTTGAGTGGACATGGGAAATGGAGAGAAGGGAGGGGCCAAGACCGATTCCAGGTTCCTGGCTTGGGTGACTGGGCAGATGGGTGCCACCGGCCAAAGTGGTGAGCTCACGTGTGGCCACCTGGGTGCAGGTGTGTAGCTGACAGCTTCAGCTTCGGGCATGTTGTATGTGGGGACACTCGGGTAGATGTGTTCTATCAACAAATCAGCAGGTGGGTCTGGGTTCAGGAGGTGGAAGGAATCAGTGCCTAGATCCATTTGCTGAACCAACCAGAGAGGCTGACAAAGTCTGACTCAGAGATCAGTTCCCTGTGGAAGAGCCTCGTTGCCTGACTGCACGTTTTACCACGCAGTGTCCTTAACAGATAACAAGAGCAAGGGGGTTTGTAGAGCTTTGTGCTTCCCCAAACCTAATCCTGTCACCTCACATGATCCTCATGGCAACCCAGGGGATCCTAATGTCGCCCAGAGCAGCAAACCTACCTCCTTGCCCTGAGAGATGAGGAGGGCAGGATCCTGACTCACTACGCCACGTGGAGCACCCACTATGGGATGGGCAGCCGGTTTAGGGTAGCTCATTGTTAATTCTCAAAACAACCCCAAGAGACAGGCATTACTACCTCCTTTCTAGTGATAAGGAAACTGAGGCTTAAAGCACTGTGCAAGGCTAAACAGTGAAAACCGCTGGTGCTAGAACTCAAACTCCTCCTCTGATCCCAAAGCCCCTCCCTCTGTCAGCCAGCGGGGCCAGGAAGAGTATCTGTATTATTCACATGCAGACGTAAAAAATAGTATTTCTCTCCAAAAGAAACATCTCTGATGGAAAGTGATGGAGAATAACTTTTTCAATTGTAAAGTCATGTTTCTAAGATGAAGCCCATGAGCCTCAAGGGAGAGCACAAAGGAAAACATTTTGGGTAGGAATTTTAAAAGGGAGAAATGAAGTATCTCACGGGGCAGTGTCCTGCTGATCACTGGGGATATGAGGCTTCAAAGGAGGCTTGAGGCTCTCTCTGCACCTGCAGACCTGAGAGCAGCACAGCTTGGGGGTGCAGACTCCAGCCAGCCGCATACCTGCTGGAAGTCCTACTCCACTAAATGCATGGTATGGACTGCAGCCAGCTGCACACGTGCTGGGAGTCCCAATCTACTAAATGCATGATAAGGGAGAAAACAAATGGGAGACGCTGAAAGTTTCATCTGTCAGGGAAAGGGGCAAGGTTGCTGCCTGGAGTGATGGACTCCTAATCTGGAAGAACTGGTAGGTGGTGACGTGGACAGGTTAGGGCTTTCAGGATAAAGGGCTGAGGTTATCCTGTCGTCCAAGAGTTTGCAACAGGAGAGGGAGGAAGCATGCATCCTGGATTTCAGAAGAACAGGTTTCTACAAATGGATAAACAGAGGAGGTTAAGTTCCAGAGTCAGGGATAGTGAAGGGAATGCTAGACTTCAGAGGAGACAGAAATTGCTAACGCAGGAAACTGACGAAGCAGCTGGAATGGCTTCACTGAGAAGGAAAGCACTGGGAAACAAACTCTCGAAGTCACAAGGGAGACCCCAGATAAGCTTAGGTGCAGAGTGGACATCAACAAAAGAGGGAGGCTGTCAGCAGCAGAGAGCTGGCAGGGCAGCAGCCACAGGGGCGGCCAGAGGAAGCTGAGACCTCCTGGATCGCAGGAAGGGCATTTTCTCCTGAGTTGGAACAAGCTAACCGAGGGAAAGAAGGGGGCTGCTATCCCGGGCAGAACGTCTGTTAACAACCAAACCTAAGACAACAGACCTTTCCTGGGCCGGGGTGAGCTCCCTTTTCTCTGAGGAGAAGAATGACCTTCCTGCTGAAAAGGCAGAGTCAACATCACAGGGAAAAGAGATGCCCAGACAGATAAGACAGGGACGGCACCGAGCTGCCTGAACGGATTCTACGGAAAATGGCACAGTGACGTAACTTCTACTTTTTACAAAGGCCACTGTGAACCCGGCACACACGTTGCTCTTTCAGGACCAGCACTTGTCCTGGGTAGGCAAGGCCATGTCACTGCCAGGGTTCTGGGGCACATGAAGAAATGCTAGGGGAAGAGCCTTCTGGCCTGTTATAATGGATCCAAGCTGGGACTGGGCAGGAGGAGGGCTGAGCTTCCCGTCACTGGGGGTGTGTATTGGTTGCTTTGTAGAGATTTAGGGTCACATACGGGCTGGACCAGGAGATTCTGACGACCCTTCCCAGCACTGAGATTGGCGCTCCACAGAGCATGGTGTGACACTGCACACATGTGAACTGGAAATCAAGCTACTTACCCGCCCTCGCTCTGTGAGAGTTGTCAACATAACGATGAGTGACAGCTTCTGATCCCAGACAACCTGCCAAAACTGCGCACAGGTATGCGGCAGAGGCCCCTGAGCGGCGACGTACCTGTTCACAAGGTTAGCAGCAGGAATTTCCATCTGGCAAGAAATTGGTCAAGTATTAGACTCTGTTGTTGCCACAAGGTGGACTGGGTTTTAAACTCTTCTACTTGCTAATTGGCATCACACCAGAAAAAGATCTCTTTATCAATTCACAGCAAATAAGAAAAATCAAACAAGTTACTTCTTTTTTTTTTTTTTTTTTTGAGACGGAGTTTCGCTCTTGTTACCCAGGCTGGAGTGCAATGGCGCGATCTCGGCTCACCGCAACCTCCGCCTCCTGGGCTCAGGCAATTCTCCTGCCTCAGCCTCCTAAGTAGCTGGGATTACAGGCACGCACCACCATGCCCAGCTAACTTTTTGTATTTTTAGTAGAGACGGGGTTTCACCTTTTTGACCGGGATGGTCTCGATCTCTTGACCTCGTGATCCACCTGCCTCGGCCTCCCAAAGTGCTGGGATTACAGGCTTGAGCCACTGCGCCCGGCCACAAGTTACTTCTAAAACTCCTTGAAAAATGATCTGACAACACCAGCATTAGATCTTTAAGATAAAAGTGTGTGGTACTCAGTAGGCAAACATCAGAACTCTATCTGTGTGATGGCAGAAGAGTTTAAATGACTTTCATTGCTCTATCCTGAATAGAATCAATACTAGCTATCTACATTTTTAGCAGTATATACCATTCCTACCCCCTAAGTCTTTCCCTATGTGGTTTTCTATCAAAATAGAAAACTGTACATTTATTTAAAGTACAGACCTATACAGGTTTATGCCACCAATTCTGGTTGCAGTTTGCTTTCTGCATGGCTTCCAATGCTTGCTTGTATCATAAAGTTGATCAATCTTGATATTAAATGTTGAAATATTTTGAAATGAGTATTTCAGGTAGAAATAGTTCTGCTCCATATTTCCTTTTTCCCCTCTGGACTGAGTCCTTTTGATGAAAGAACACTCAGAACCTGCTGAGCTTTGGGCTGGCACTGGGATTCACTCACTCTCAGGTAGGCAAGGTAAAGGAAGTCTTCTAATTTGTGGTTTGGCTGGTGCTTGGGTGAATGGCTTCCTCAGTCCTGGGATTGCATGAAAAGACTGGTCTTTGTGATGTTGCTGCCCCTAATGTTTCTGATGCTCTGCTTTTAAGATACTGGGAATGTCGAAGTGAGGGTCAATGAATCCATGGATGCTTTGGGACAGGCGTAATCATGGATGAGACCAATTTTTATTAGGGCATTTCTCGACAATTTGTTCTAACTTGAGAACTTAATCTGAGAAATCATCCGTCTGTTTAGGAGTTGGCAGACCACGTATCGCCTGAAGGCCAAATCTGCCTGCCACCTTGCAAGTTAACGGTGGCTTTTAATCTTTTTAAGTGGATACATTTTAAATGCAAAGACCACATATCACTATCTGGTTGCCTACAGAAAGTCTGACCCCGGGTTCAGATAGAAGGAATGCAAGTTTAGAGAGGCACTTGCAGAGAGAAAACAAGTGCTTTTCCCATAATACGTGAGACATTTCACTTTTTCTTTTTGGGTTATATGTACAGAGAAGGTTTTGTTTTTCTCTTTTTTTTTTTTTCTTTTTTTTTTAAGGCAGGATGACACTAATTACATGGAGAGAAACAGTGACAAACACGCCACTGGCAGAAACCACCTGAATGGAAGCAGCTCAGTACAGAGGCGTGCGGACGACTGAATTAGAAACAAGCCTCGTCCCCTCTTCCGTGAGCTTTGTGACCTTTCAAATTATTTTAACTCTCCGAACCTTAGTTTCCTCCTCTGTAAAATGAGACTATTCTGCCTTCCCTCCCATGGCTGCTGTGGTGCTGAAATGCAGCGGTGAACAGGAAAGCACTCTGTCAACTGCAAAGCCCCCACAGGCCCTCATCATCATCGTTACAGTGGTGAATGTGCGCTTTAGCATCATCCAGATTCCTAACTTACATTCACGTAACTTGCATTGATATAATCTTCATTTCCCTGCAATAATACCCGGGTGGTGTCATCTGCAGGGAAGAGAAAAAATTACCGATTATTCTGAGCATGATTTTTATCATACCAAGTAAACCAGAGTTCAGTTCCCAGCCCCATCTGCAGCTCTGCCTCATTAGCATAAACACTATTCCCCAACTGTTCAGAGTCTGAAATGGCTGCAGTAAAGACGGTGGTGTTTACAGACACACTGAAAATCGTTCCAGAATACCAGACAATCTGTTTTAAAAAGGGAAACATTATCTCAGTGGAGGGGGGAAGGAGGCATTCATGCTGGATACTCACAAGGCAGCACATCTTTATATCGGTTTTTGTCCAAATTTTGAGGCAGCTTTGCAAACGTGATGGCCAAACCTGGCTTTTTTCTATAGAGTTGCTATGTGAGAAATAGAGAAAAAAGAAAGCATTGCAAAAATCAGATGAAAAAGTGTGAAAACATACTTTATCATTCACAGCACCAAAATCTTAACATTTTAAAGTGATTATGTGTTATATACTAAAAGATCATCTTCCCAATGAGAAATTCTACAGTTCCATGAGAAACTGACTAAAGGCTTTCATAGCTTTTTTTTTTTTTTTAATTAGAAAAAATGCCATAGGAAGGGACTGGTTCTCAGGTAAGTGAAACCTTGTCTTTATGACAACTATTTGACAAGAGCTGAAAGCAAGAGGTGGGGGGAAGAATTTGGACTCAAAATTAAATGGAAATCATCTAAATTAGTCTCGAACCATTTCCCTCCAATTCAACACAGTAAACCACACCCTTTAAGAACAAAAGCACTTCATTCATCATTGCAGAAGTCTGTTTCTACAGGAAAAACGTTTATCGCAATATACAGTAAACTTTTTACAGAGGTACTTTCCTACACATGTAATCACTACTGAAAATCTCAAATAACAAAAAATCTTTGCAAACGTAAAGTCACATATTAGACATGTCTGTATGGTACCTGTAATGATTTTCGCAACAGCCCTGTAAGAGGTATTAATTGTATTCTTACTTTGCAAGTTCAATGCTTTGCCCAAGATCACAAACAGGAACTCGGATCTCACTCCAAAGCTTATGTTTTCTTTTCTATATGACTGTTTCTCCTTTTAATCCCTATCTACCAGTGATTTTTATTAACTCTATGGGAGTTTAAAAACAGTTTTTTTCAGTGTTGGAAGTGATTTTTGTGTGTGTAAGATTCGGGAAATTCAGCTAATATAAAGAAAAATATTACCAGTAATTTCACAACCTTGAGATGAGCTTTTCGTATACTTTCTCCAGCTTATTTTTTTCTGCACCTACACGCACGCAAATGAACAGAAGCATATATACACAAACATATAATACATTTATATACCGTGTTTTTAAAAGCAAAAAATGAGACCCAACAACATATTGCCACATTTTTTCTTTCTTTCTGAGACAAGATCTCTGTTGCCCAGGCTGGAGTGCAGTGGCATGATCTCAGCTCACTGCAATCTTCGCCTCCCAGGTTTAAGCGATTCTTTTGTCTCAGCCTTCAGAGTAGCTGGGACTACAGGTGCGTATCACCATGCCTGGCTAATTTTTGTATTTTTAGTACAGACAGGGTTTCCTCATGTTGGCCAGACTGGTCTCAAACTCCCGACCTCAAGTGATCCACCTGCCGGGGCCTCCCAAAGTGCTGGGATTACAAAGTGTAAACCACTGTGCCCGGTCATATTGGCACTTCCTTATGCTATGTGTTCTATGCAACTTAAGTGTCCTAAAAGAAGATAAATATTACTTAGAAAAAGTTTTGAAGTCAAGAAATTTGGAAAATACTTATTTTATGTTCTATGAATCTCTAATTAAAGATAAGTCCTGCAATGCATAATGCAAATATTTGCTTAATTACGATCAGCTAAGCATTTCTCAAGCTAATCTGGCCATGGAAAATCTCAGCATCTAATGGAGTATTCTGGGAAATAATGATCCTAATTTTCAAGCTGCTTTCTCCACTTACTGGATAGTGTCTATTTCCCATGGCATTATTTTTTACACATATGATCTTTAATGGCTCAATAATCTAGTTTACTATAATGTATTTTAACTTTTATCCTACTTTTTCATTAGGCTGTTTTCAAATTTTTTTACTCATAAACATTTAAGAAGAGAATTAAAGAATATATATAAGGGTTTTTTTTTTTTTTTTTTTTTTTTTTAAGTAGTTTTACTGTTTTGCCCAGGCTGGAGTGCAGTACTGAGATCTTGTCTCACTGCAACCTCAGCCTCCCAGGTTCAAGCAATTCTTCTGCCTCAGCATCCTGAGTAGCTGCCCACCACCACACCTGACTAATTTTGTATTTTTAGTAGAGACAGTGTTTCGCCATGTTGGCCAGGCTTGTCTCAAACTCCTGACCTCAGGTGATCCACCCGCCTTGGCCTCTGAAAGTGCTAGGATTTTTAAGAGTTTTGATACATATAACCAAGTTGCCCTACAGGGACGTAGGATAAATTCACTAAATTGTGGCCAACAGCCTTGATAAAGATGTGTTGGCAGTTTCAGTAGGGAGGGTAAAAGGATTTCTCCCTCTATATTTTTGCAAATGGTATTGTTTTGTAAACTGGCTTCTGTTAGTCTGGTTTTTTTTCTCTTACTAAATAAACAACTCCCCAGAACTCCCCAGCAGAGAATTAACGTGGAGAATTTGGGTCATGATAATGGTGCCCTATCTTATACATTTGCCAAATGTCTAGAATTTCCAAACACTCCAAGAGCTCAGCTACTCACCACCTTTACAGTTTCAGTTCATAACCATCAAGTAGCTGAACATCTTCTTAAATCTCTACAGTCTTTAATAAACTCTATGAGTTCATTTTAGGAATAAACTAATCGTTTATTGGAGGTTTTGGGTTGACTCTGGCAAAGGTGGCATCTAAGTTAAATTTACCTAGATGGCATTTTAGTTCTCACTAAGTGAATATAATCAACAATTAAGTGAACATAGTAAAGCTAACTTGATGTGAAAAGAGATTTTTTTTTTTTTCCAAACAACAAAAGTGTAAATATAATCAACTTGAGGTGGTCAAGCAGGAAAGTACAGCTATAGAAAAAGGCTTTAACTACCATTAAGACTTTAAATGTACCTCAGCAGTAATGATCTGCTGACAAATTTGTAAAGTACTAAGATAAATCGTATATTAAAAAGTACTCTGGCAGTGTTTACATTTGTTTTCTGAGACAGTCTCGCTCTGTCTTCCAGGCTAGACTGCAGGGGTGTGATCTCCTCATCGCAACCTCTCCCTCCAAGGCTCAAGCGATTCTCATGCGTCAGCCTCCTGAGCAGTTGGGAGTACGGTCACGTGCCACCACATCTGGCTAATTTCTGTATTTTTAGTAGAGACAGAGCCTTGCCATGTTGGCCAGGCTGGTCTCAAACTCCTGACCTCAAGTGATCCACCTGCCTTGGCCTCGCTATGTGCTGGGATTACAGGCATGAGCCACCATGCTCGGCCAGGCAGTGTTTAAAAATTTTTAAATGTGCACACTCTGGACTTTATTCAACAGAAATACATAAAGATACATGTCACGGAAGTTTATCTGCAACAAAATATTTATCCTCAGAAAACCAGACACAGCCTGGATAGTCCCCAGAGGGGAAGAAATGTTTACTTAAATGATAGTACAGTCTTACAGAAAATTCTGTGCAAGTAATAAAAAGAATATGGCCGGGCGCGGTGGCTCAAGCCTGTAATCCCAGCACTTTGGGAGGCCGAGGTGGGTGGATCACCAGGTTGAGAGATCGAGACCATCCTGGTCAACATGGTGAAACCCCGTCTCTACTAAAAATACAAAAAATTAGCTGGACATGGTGGCGCGTGCCTGTAATCCCAGCTACTCAGGAGGCTGAGGCAGGAGAATTGGCTGAACCCAGAAGGCAGAGGTTGCGGTGAGCCGAGATCGCGCCATTGCACTCCAGCCTGGGTAACAAGAGCGAAACTCCGTCTCAAAAAAAAAAAAAAAAAAAAAGACAGGTGGAAAGTACAGATTTCGAAGGGTATCTATTCATATACTTTTAAGTGAAAAATACAAGGTATTGAATAATTTATACAATGAGGATCATCAAATAGCAACAGTGTATATAACGTGTAAACACACAATCGTGTGTGTGTGTGTGTGTGTGTGTGTGTGTGTGTGCATGTATATATAATGTATCTGCATGAGCACTGAAACAAGTATGGAAGGATACATACAAAATTGTGGTTTGCAAATTATAACAAAGGGGAAGAAACTGAAGGGGATGGGAGTCAGGAGACTATTTTACTTTGGTTATTTCTGAATTATCTGAAGTATTGCAATGAGAACTGTTATTTTTAAATTCAAATGACTAAAGTGAGAAAAAGAAATACAACAAAAGAAATCTATTTATAAAAAGTACAAAATTTTTACAAAAAGCTAGATGAACAAATCAAAGTTAAGATTGTTTGGCCTTTGGAAAATCTGACAATGCACTCCTGTTTTTGCTTGCTTTGCAAAGGCTAACACTGAATAGGACTGAAGCGATTCAGTAGAAACACAATTCAAACACTTCGTTTCTTAAGAGTTGGTTTTTGGCCAGGCACAGTGGCTCAGACCTATAATACTAGCACTTTGGGAGGCTGAGGTGGGCAGATAGCTTAAGCTCAGGAGTTCGAGACTAGCCTGTGTAACATGGCAAAACCCCATCTCTACTAAAAATATAAAAATTAGCCAGGTGTGGTGACATGTGCCTGTAGTCTAAGCTACTTGGGAGGCTGAGGTGGGACGATTGCTTGAGCCCAGGAGGTGGAGGTTGCAGTGAGCCAATATCATGCCACTGTACTCCAGTCTGGGTGACAGAGGAAGACGCTGTCTCAAAAAAAGAAGAAAAAAGAAAGAAAAAAAAAAGAGCTTTCAAGTTCCTAATTTTTTTTTTTTTTTGAGACAGAATCTTGCTCTGTCACCCAGGCTGGAGTGCAGTGGTGCAATCTTGGCTCACTGCAACCTCCACCTTCTGGGTTCAAGTGATTCTCCTGCCTCAGCCTCCCGATTAGCTGGGATCTGTGTACAGGCATGCACCACCACGCCCGGGTAATTTTAATATTTTTAGTAGAGATGGGTTTTTGCCATGTTGCCCAGGCTAGTCTTGAACTCCTGAGCTCAAGTGAGCCACCTGCCTTGGCTTCCCACAGTGCTGGGATTACCTGTGTGAGCCACCACACCCAGCTTCAAGTTCCTAAATGTAGTGGCTCCTCTCCAGGCCCTGTGGGCTGCTTGGCAGTCCGGGTATGAAACACTGCTCTGAGAAGTGGGAGGGACAGAGTAGAAAGTGAGTGTGGGGAACACAGATATGTCTTTCTGGAAGGGTCAGGGATGGAACGAAATGAGTTAAGGCTTTGTGACACTG